CAGTCTTGTGATATTCTTAGGATATAACATATTATATTCTTAGGGCTGATGTGGCTTTCAATTAGCTGCTCATGACTTTTTTTCCTTGAGGTGCAATTTATGTTACATAAAATTAACCTTTTAAAGTGAACAGTTCAGCAGCGTTGAGCACATTCACAATGTTGTGCAACCACAACCTCTATCTAGTCCCAGAACATTCTCATTACCCCTAAAGGAGACCTCATACCCATAAGCATTCACTCCTCAGCTCTGTCCCACAGCACCTACCAACCACTAATCCACTTTCTCTCTGTGGATTTGCCTGTTCTGGACGTTTCATATAAATAGAAGCACACACTATGTGGCCTTTTGTGTCTGCTTCTGTCACTGAGCATCACATGTTCAAGGTCCATCCATATTGTAGCTCTGTTAGAGCTTCACCCCTTTTCAGGGATGTATAATATTCCACTGTATGCACAGGCCGTATTCCATTTATCCATTGATGGATACTTGGGCTGTTTTCACCTTTTGACTATTGTGAACAGTGCTGCTGTGAACATGTGTTTGAATCCCTGTTTTCACCTCTTTTAGGCACACACCTAGGGTTGGAATTGCTGGGTCATGTGGTCATTCTGTGCTTAGCTGTTTGGCTCACAGTTTTCAGTAGAGGATGTAGACATACTATACATTGTTCCTATCACGGAATGTTCCCTCGAGTGCCTGCACAGAGGTCTCGAAGCTCATCGGACCCACAGAATTCCTCCCTCTACCCTCTGTCACGGGCCCGTCCGCTGTCAAAATCGCCCACGTGAGCCGCACAATTACAGATTCATTTGTCTCAATGCACAGTGGGCTGGTTAAAGATGTCTTATGTGCTGCATGCATTTCTCTCTTTGCTTTTTATTCCTTAACATGAGTTTTGTGGAAATCTAGATTTGCCTGTGGGGAACGAGGCAAAAATGGCAGACGTGGGGCCATACTCCAGCAAAATGGGGGAGAAGACAGAGATTTGCGTTGGGTCCAGGATGGGACATGGGACGTGCTCCGTGGACCGTCTCCCTGTCTGCCTCACGAGCTTCTTTGTCAAGGAGAGAGTCCACGGACGACACCGAGGTCCTGTGACTTATGTTTACCATATTACTGTAAATTACTCAATTACCCTATGACCACAAATAGGAAGAAATCTAAAAAAACTTTAAAATATTTATTTATCAGTGTGTTTCGCTACGTCAGTAACAAACCCATTCCACATTAACGTAAGTGACACGCTTTTTCGAATAATAGCCATGTTTCTCCAAATGAAAAATTTAGCAAGAAGACTGGCATCATTTTTCCCTTTTTGCAAGTGTCTTTAAAGTCTTTTTGCATCAGAGAAGGAAGGCGGATTCTCACGTCTGCTCCTGCGTTCCGTGGTTTTGGTGGAGGCACTGAAGACAATTTGGCCTCGTACAGACACGGGGTTGGAAACGGCAGGGGTGTTTTAGTAGGTTTTTCACATGATGTAGGACGCTGTTCTTGATGCAGTCCCAAGACTGGACGAGTGGTACTTGTTTAAAAGTCGGCGGTAATGTGGGCTCTGAAATGCCATCCCTGAACTTTTCATGCTCTGTTATGAAAATCCGTTGGTCTGTCTTGTAGGGCAAGAGACTGGCCGGGGAGCCCAGAGCCCATGTAGGGGGGTGACTGGTGTCCCCCCAAACTCACATCCACCGGGAACCAGGAATGGGACCTTATTAGGAAACAGGGTCTGTGCAGATGTGATTGAGTGAAGGATGGAGAGGAGGGTGTCCTGGATGAGGGTGGCCCTAAATCCAGTGACAGTGTCCTCATCAGAGACAGAAGAGGAGACACAGACACAGAGGAGAAGCCACGTGGAGACGGAGGCAGAGATGGAGGGAGGCGGCCACCAGCCCAGGGACGCCTGGAGCCCCAGAAGCTGGAAGAGGCAGGAAGGACCCTCCCCTGGAGCCTCCGGAGGGAGCACGGCCCTGCGACCCCTTCATCTCAACCAGCTCCAGGTCCTTCTCGGCCATCAGGTGCTCCCAGGATGGACAACCTTAATTATCCCCAGACGAGACTCGCTTGCGGGGAAACACCCATCATTTTCCCGCCACCTTGTGTCCTCAGCGTGTCTGACCCGCACGAATCGGCTGGGCTGGGCCTCGCCCACCGGGGCCCGTCCTGGATGGAGTCTGGAGACGTCCGTGTAAAGCTGACCCCGCTCCCCCGCGGACGGCTCTTTCCCAGAGCCTCTTGATTCACAGACGTGGACCCCGTGGGGCTTCCCGCCTGGGCGCCTCTGAGTGGCACCCCCGGATGCGTGTGCAAATGAGTGTTACCTGCTGCGTGGTCCGCCGGCCCTTTGATGTGCCGGCTGACACTCGGAGATGGTGAGGAAGAAAATAACTTTAAAAATATTAAGAAAGCTTAATTGAAGTTAACATAAAAGGAGATGCGCGGTGTTAATTGGTCTGTCTCCAGCATAATTCGGGCCCTGGAGACCCTGTCCCTTACCCCCTGCCAGAGTGTCAGGACTCACATCTTTAATTCAACAAGCTTTGTATTAATTACCTCTGGATAAGGTACGCTTGGCTTGGGAGCCCTTGATTATGGAATTACCGTGCATCGCCTGCCTTAAGATAAATAAATTAGGCCTGAGCTAGGGGGAGAAAGCTCTCCATCCGACTGAGAACGGGAAGGGCATTTGCTTATCAAATATCGGATGAAAGAGGGGTTTTTCTTGGACATTCTTAGTGGGGGGAAGTGTTTCCAGTCCCCCCATCCACCCGCCTATGATGCTGTGTGGAGCTCTTTGCTGGTTCACCTGGTACCTGCATCCTGCAAACGATGCTCTGGGGACACACGCCCGTGGCGGGGGGTGGAGGGCCGCACGGTCCACCCAGCAGCTGTCTGGTCTGCCAGGGCCCATCGAGGGCTAGAAATCAGGCTGTGGGTGGGATGAGGTCTGGGAAATGGGCACGGACAGGTGGGTTGGGGACTGGGTCTGGTGAGCCCCAGGTGAGGGGCAGCATTCATGGCGCGGATGGAGTCAGAACCACGGGAAGGAGGGTAAACGCAGAGGAGGTGCGTCAGAAATTAAAAACTGCCTTCCAAGGGAGGGATGGACGGCTCAGGAAAATGCAAGTGGCAGCCGCCAGCTGGACCCAATCCAGGTGCATTCGAGCTTCCTGCGGCTCCTGGACCAGGTGACCCCAATCTGGGCGGCTTAAACCACAGGAATTCATCCTCCCCAGTCCTGGAGACCAGACGTCTGAGATGAAGGGGTCGCAGGGCCGCGCTCCCTCCAGAGGCTTCAGGGGAGGGTCCTTCCTGCCTCTTCCAGCTTCTGGGGCTCCAGGCGTCCCTGGGCTGGTGGCCGCCTCCCTCCATCTCTGCCTCCGTCTCCACGTGGCTTCTCCTCTGTGTCTGTGTCTCCTCTTCTGTCTCTGATGAGGACACTGTCACTGGATTTAGAGAGCTGTGTTCCCATTGGATAAACCCCATTGGGATGAACCAATGCTTCTGCCCCCAGTGCATCCCCTCCCCACGGTCTCTGCTTCTCCACAGCCCTGAAGTTGGCATCTGAGGTTTTCTGTGCAGGGTTTGCTGAAATGTGACGTCTCAGCATTAAATGAAGTCTTGACATTTTCATACAGATTTTGCATGTTTATTCAAAAAGACATTTTCTGCATGAACAGTGTGAAGGCAAAAATACAAAGGCAGAGTCAATGCAGAACTTTGAGCACACATGTGTTTCTACCAAAGTCGACATCGAAACAACGTTGCCGGTCACCATGAACCAGTGTTTTAGGTTTGAATTGCAAGAGTGTGTTGTTTTGGTGGGATTCCGTTTATAAATTTGTTTTGGTTGTTACTTAGTTGACTTACTATACGTACTTAGTGTTACTTAGTATAAGAACGCTACACGTAAGGCATAGGTGGTTATCTTTGTGGTTAAGTAACGTTGCAGTAAAAATAATTTGCTCCCTCCGGAAGGGGGTGGGGGTTGATGGAAATGTCTTTCTTTCAATGGGTTTATCAGTTAACCAATTTGAGAAACAGTTGATTGTGTTGAAAATTTCCCCAAGGAAAGGTATAAGTAGGATGCCACGGTCACAGCGGCTGGGGCTACTGTCTTGTTGATCTGAATCCTCAGCCTGGGCACCCACCACCTGCCCCTTCGCCTCATTTGTTGATCCTGCTTAGCATCCTACACCCAGGTGATGGGTATAAGATCGTTTCTTCAGGTCTGGAAATTCTCTGATGGCCTAGGGCTCCTAGGCAGAGTGTGTGTTGGGTCTGGATGACCTGGACCCAACTTTGCGTGTTGGGTCCGCCATCTTGGTTTGGAATTGGCTTGGACCAAATGCGCCTTATATGGGAATCTAGCCTCTGTTTTCCTTTCCTCTGCCCATAGAGGCAGTCTGACCGCCTTATATGGAGTGTACCTAAAATACATCATGCACCGTTTACTCCTTTTATTTTGCTCGATGAGCATGGAGGGCTCCAAAACGCTCAGGGGCGTGGGTTCTGACATGGCCAGTCCAGTAAACACAGCACACATCTGGACATGGACAGATGGACCGGACATGGGCAGTGAAGACATGTCCCGGGGCATCGTGGGGACCACCTTCTCGGGAGCTGGAATCTCCCCAGTTGGGGGGACTGGCCTCTGAGCTCGGGGGAGGGGGGTGGGGGGAATGTGAATTTCAAGGCTTTTATGGTTGGGCTGGAATTTGATTTGAGAATTTGCTTTGGTTTTACCAATGTGTGAGAACCCTAGGCATGGGGCATATATAATTATGTTTTATGTCTGTGCTCATTTAGGTGACAGATAGTCAAATAATTTGCTGGTGGTAGTTTGGGATTATAATAGTATCCTGGGGCCCCGTAACAAAGCACCACAGACGAGGCGGCTTAGACAACAGACATTTATCTCTCCCAGTCCTGGAGGCTGGAGTCTGAGATCCAGGTGTCACAGGGCTGGTTCCTCCTGAGGCCTCTCTCCTTGGCGTGTAGACGCCGTCTTCTCCCTGTGTCCTCACGTGGTCGTCCCTCTGTGCGTGTCTGTGTCCTCATCTCCTCTTCTCATAAGGACACCAGTCTTATTGGATCAGGGCCCCCCAATGACCTCATTTTACCTGCATCATCTCTTTAAAGACCCATCTCCACATACAGCCCCATCCTGAGGTCCTGGGGGTCAGGGCTCCAATATGTGGATTTGGGGGGACACAGTTCAGCCCACAGCGGGGCCATGCGGTCCTCACAGCTTGTCTGAGGACTCGAGGACTAAAATGACAGTGGCAGCCCCTTGGGGACACCAGAAAGGGAAACACAGCCTCTACTTCAGTCCAAGGTGACTGCACCCTCGTCCGGCTGGGCGGAGGGAGCTGGAGGTCCCACTCTGGCCGGCCAGGCAGTGGCCTTGGCGAGTGTGGGGCTGGCAGAGACGCGAGCAGGTGCCACTGCTGGCATTTATCTTGGTTGTGATGAGCAGAGGGAGGATGCTCAGGGCGTCTCGGGCGGACGGGGTGGCAGGTGATGTGTGGGGGCTGCCGAGGGCCCCCTAGGCTGGACTCCTCCAGGGAAAATGGCAGACTGGACACCTGGACGTGCAGACCGGTGTGATCAGAAGGGCGGGGACCAGGTGTCCCCAGGATTCCTGCTTCCCGCCTGAGCCAGGGTGGGACCGCAGTCCCGTCCATCGGGTGGTGGTCTGGGGTCTGGAAGGGGTGACGGCTCCTGCCCCGTGTCTCTGGGCCGCGGGTGGCCACTGGCTCGGGGCCCATTAGCATATGTTCCCAGCGCGGCTCTGGTAATTAGTGCTCATTAGTATTCTCCGGCGCGGGCCTGTCTGGTCTGGGCTGCGGGTGCATCAGCGAGGCTGCGGCTGTTTGATGAGGGGAGACGGGGAGGTCAGCGAGCAGGCGCTAATTAGGCCGGGACGTCAGGAGCGATCGCTGGCGCTGGGCAGCTAGCTTCCTGTGCACGAGGCCGGCTCCTCTGAAGCAGAGAAGGACGTGCTAGGGACTGGCACCCTGTGGCCTGTCAGCGTGCCTGTGCTCCTGTCTGCAGCACGAGCGAGCTGTGGCCGATGACGAGGGAACCCGGGAGTTGTTTTCATAGGGTGTGATAAGACACGCAGACACAAAAATGATTGTCGTGGAGGAAGAAGTGTTTATTATGCTCAAGTTCCCCAGGCCACTCGGGGGAGCATCTGGGGAGCTGAGCTGCCGGAGCGAGAGGCTGTGCGGGCAGGGAGCGTATTGTGGTTCTGGGGAAGGAAGGGGCAGGTGAGACGAGAAAAGTCAGCGAAGAAGTTTAGGACGGGCCAGCGTGAGTGTTTCTGCAGGATCTGGGGAGCCGGGCTGCCCCCGGTTGTGTGGCGCCTGCTCTGAGGTGAGTAGGGCAGAGGGATCCATGGCCCCACAGAGGAGGTGGTGGGGTGTGGGCTCTGGACCGAGGGGTTGGTTTGCATATCAAAGGCACTGACTAGGAATTAGCTCACAGCCCCTCCCGGTCAGCGAGGCCCCAAGAAGCCAGAGCATCGAGAATCCGGAAAATTAGAAAGCAGCTCGCACACCCCCACGCGTGGCCAGTCATCGGCATGAGGCACAAGCAACTACCTTTACATTTGTGCTTCTGTGTTACAGTCGGCATCATCTGCCAGCCCGAGGGGCTTATGAAGACCCCTCTCTTTAAATGGGTTTGTCCACAAGTCAGGTTGCAGAAATGGTTGATCACGTTAGCAATGGCTGGAGAAGAGTGAGGAAGGAGGTGCCTCTCCAAGTCAGCTCTCGGAGGGAAAAGGAGGCTTCTGATGGGGCTTCGGGGGAGCAGGGGGTGAATATGAGGGGAGGGAGGGAAGGAAGGAAAAGGGAAGGAGGAAGGAAGGAAGGAAGGAAGGAGGCAGGAAGGAGGAAGCAAGGAATGAGAAAGGAGGCAGGAAGGAAGGACGGAGGGAAAAGAAAAAGAGAGAGTTTGACTTAAGATGAGCTGAGGCCTCCCGGACGCCCAGGTCTTTTGAGAACCGGCAGAACCACCCTACATGGGAAATTGTGTCTCCCAGCTAAGAGTCTGTTCAGGAGGCTATCGACAGAGAAGGAATGTTCCGGAACATCCTGACCATTGTTATATATTTTTTTTTGGTGTGAGGAAGATCAGCCCTGAGCTAACATCCATGCCCATCTTCCTCCACTGTATATGGGACGCCGCCACAGCATGGCTTGACAAGCAGTGTGTCGGTGCACTTAACCGCTTGCGCCACCGGGCTGGCCCTGGAAGTGTTCTATTTCTTGACCTGAGCAGGTGTCGTGAGGAGATGGCGTCTGTAAAAAACCATTGAGTTGTGCCCTGTGATTCCTGTGCCTGGGAAAATGTGAGTTTTATGTCCATAGAAATCCATAATCTCGTGCATCAATACAGTCGTGCGTTGGTTAATGATGGGGATAGAGTCTGAGAAATGTGTCGTTAGGCGATTTCATCGTTGTGCAAACATCATAGAGTGACTTACACAAAGCTAGATGGCACAGCCTCCTACGCACCCAGGCGGTATGGTTCTCATGTTATGGGACCACCATCATGTATTCAGCCAGTTGTCAACCAAAACATTATGATGCAGCGCATGACTAAATATGTGTATACTTGTCACAATTTATCAGGGAATATACATTGTATCATATTGTTACACTATGTAATAGGGGCAATATGATACACAGTGTGCATTGGTCTCACACCTGTTACATTGTTGCAGGAGACAGCAGACCCAGAGGATGGCGGCGCACACAACCCGTCGCCATGTTGGTGGATGAGGGAGGAAGGGAGCCGAGGTCTATGGCACCACCAGGACCCTCAAGTGCTTCTCCAAACCCCGCTTCCCCCGGTCTCAGCTTCATCCAGCCTCCGTGGACCTGCTGAGGGGAGAATAGGTCTCGGTCGCCCCAGCGGGCACCCTCCGTCCTCACCGCTGTGCCGGGAGCCGCCCTTCCTTCCGTGGGGGCGCCCAGGGTCCCAGCGTGGAGACGCACACAGCCCGAACCCTGGAAACCGGGGGTCTCTAACTGCACAGCCACCAACACCCACACTCTCCCTGACGAGGAAGCACTTTCGATACTGCTCTGAAGGTGGCATTTTTCCAAAAGCTCACGTCCTAAGAGACGAGACTGGACGGTGGCAAAGGCTTACTGATGTCCGTTTTTTCTCAGCACAGGTGGATCTTTACACAGGAGGGGCAGAAGTGGAGTTGCAGAGCTGAGCCGTTGGCCGGCAGCGTCCAGCGTGCCCGTGGGTGTGCCAGCGCACCGTCACACCCACACACCCTCTGTGCCCACGACGCGGCCCCCTATCCCGCAGAATTCTCTTCCTGCAGGAGAAGCACTTGTGGTTACTGGACACACCCGTGAACTCATGCAAAACCCATGTGGACAATCGCTCATCAAGAAAACCCGAGACGCCCCATCAATATGCACCCAGCGTCCTGTCCATGTGGTGCCACCGGCCCCTTGGAGGGCTCCCCAGTTCCTGGACAGCGGGGTGGAATCCAGCTCTCAGAGCCGCTCAACTTTATAGAAAAAATTTACAGCCAGCCTCTTCAGTGTTCTGTCATTTTATCTTAAGGAAAAAGGAAAAGGAAAGCAAGCACGTTCCTCCCGTCTCCCCGGTCTGACACGGCTTCCCTTCAGAAGATCCCCGACTACAAGTGGGTACATGACGCCCGCCGCGCTCCCTGGCGAGCGCCCTCTGCGTTTCCTTCATGACAGGGCGCCGTAGGTGTGGTGACAGCTTTCAGATGGGGGCCCGGGCGAGAGGGCTCTAGAGGAGGCGGGCGACGCGCGCAGATCCACGGCGGGCGGGCGTCCCGGGAGCCGCCGGCCGCCTTTGTAGAGTCCCGCGGCGAGGCGGCCCCCACGCTGCGTGGGCCGCACTCGCTGACAGGCAGCCCACACTTCACCCTAATCACGAATAAAAGCCGGCTCCCTGTGGGTTACAGATCTTCTCTGTTTTGACATTGACCTTAATACATAATTTAACCACAAAGCCTGAGCCATGTGCAACAAGATAAGAAAAGACCACGGCACGGGCAAATAAAGCGATGTTCAATCAGAAATCATATTTGTTCCTGATGGCAGAGACGTGGGCGCGGAGAGGGGAGACGGGGAGCAGCAGGGAGGGGAGCAGGGCAGGGGAAGGGCGCGATCGTGTTGCAGGCTGTCAGATGTACGTGCATCCCGGGTCTGGATGCCGAGCAACAGTCGATTACCATTAGGGGCCCAAGACGGGCTGGATTGGAGAAGGGTGGGTCGCACTGGTGTGCACGGCTTGTTTGCACCGAGAAAGAGGCTGGGGCCCGAGGAGCGTGGAAAACAAATATTGACAGGCACGGGGAGCAGGTGCACCTGGGTCTTGGGAACCGCCCGGGAGGAAGGGAGCGGGTGTTCTGGGGGCAAAGGTGGAGGTGCCCGGGCAGGTGCATCCCTGCAGAGCCCAGTGCAGTGCCGGCCGGCACCGCTGGGTCCGTTCTCCGGACTGTTCCAGTTTGAACACTGAGTCCTGTGGGGACGCCGTGCTCTGTGTGGGGCTGGTGTTTTTACAGAGATCCACGGAAATTCGGGAGCTGGAAGCAGGGTCCTGTGGGAGGCTCCTGTGCGTGATGGGGAAGCCAGATGTTGATGCTCGGGACCCTTGGGGGCGTCCGGCTGGGTCTTTGGGAAGGGTGTCAGAAACCAAGAGTTGAGCCAAATGCAAGGGATGTTTATGCTCCCAGAGCAAAGCCTGGGACTCGAAGGGTCGGGATGGGGGAAGAGGTGGCACTCGGTGAGGTGAGGGCGTCCGGCCGCCTGCAGGCTGGGCCACGAGAGGCCTGGGGCGTCTCGACCGTCTGCACTAAATATTGTGGGGCTTGAAGAACTCTGTACGGGCACTGGGTCAGAGCCAAGAGCCCGTTTCCTTTGTTATGAGGTTCCCCAGCTTGTACGCGGAGAGACAAAGGAGTGTGAAGGAGAGCACGTGTGGGTGGAAACGCACGCCCGCAGAC